AAAATCAATCGCTTATTGAAACCGAAGTGACTGTTTGTAAAATCAGATACGTCGATTTGAATATTTAAAGGGTGATACGGTCAGAATTTGATCAAGGGAAAACACGTGTAAATCGGTGAAATCGTTTATTTAAAAAATCAAATTAAATTTCTTTTTCAAGTTCAATTAGTATAAAATTCAGGAAAAATATTCAGTTAGGCTTCCGCTTTTCCAAATCCGAATTGCCGGGCCTTACGCTTGACCCCTGCCATCAGATTTTGTACAGCCACCTTGTCCACCTTCTTCGCCGCAGAAAGCCAGTTTGCCTTGAACTGCTGATCGCCCTTAGCAGTTTTTTGGTCTTCTTTAGGTTCCGCTTGACAATAGCCCAGTATTTCTCAATTGGGCGGAGCTCTGGCGTGTTGGGAGGGTTCTTGTCCTTGGGAACCACCTGCACGTTGTTGGCGGCGTACCACTCCATGGCCTTTTTACCGTAATGGCAAGATGCCAAATCCGGCCAAAACAGTACGGAACAACCGTGTTTCTTCAGGAAAGGCAGCAGACGTTTATTCAAACACTCTTTCACGTAAATTTCTTGGTTGACAGTCCCGGAAGCTATGAAAATGCTGCTTTTCAAGCCACAGGTACAGATGGCTTGCCAAACCAGATATTTCTTTGCGAACTTTGACAGTTTCATGTGCTTGAAAACATCTGCTACCTTTCCCCTTCCTTTTGCCGTATAAAACTCCTGTCCCGGAAGCTGCTTGTAGTCGGCTTTGACGTAGGTTTCGTCGTCCATTACCACGCAGTCAAACTTCGTCAGCATCGTCGTGTACAGCCTCCGGGATCGCGCTTTGGCCGTCGTATTTTGTTTATCATCGCGATTTGGAGTCACTACCTTCTTGTAAGTCGATAGTCCGGCTCGTTTTTTGGCTCGATGCACGGTTGTAGACGATACACCCAGCTTATTTGCGGCATCTCGGAGAGAGAGGTTAGGGTTTCGCTTGAAACTACCGGCAACTCTCTTTGTCGTCTCAGCGGCTTCCGGTTTTCGATTTCCCCCCGATCCAGACTTCCTGGCTGTCGACAAACGTTCCCCAAACACTTTAATTACATTTGTAACGGTTGATTTGGCAACTTTAAGCGATTTTGCCAACTTTGCGTGCGAGTAGCTCGGATTTTCGCGATGCGCGAGCAAAATTTTGATACGCTGCTCTTCTTGCTTGGACGGCATTTTGACAACTGAAGAGTGAATTCCAAAATCAAAATAGGAGCAACATTCTACACACACACACCTTCAAAATGAGGGGTATTCAGGTTTTTTAAATGCAAAATTGAAAGAAATACGTCAAGTTGATATTGACCAAATTTTGACCGTATCACCCTTTATGCTTGGAATACCTAAAATCTCATAGAACCAGAACGTCAAAATCGAACTTATGTTGGATTCAATCTGTTGTTTTATTTATTTTTTTTTAATTTAATTTATTTTTTCTAATAATCGGAAGTCTGGCACTGGACCATTCCGTTGCCCACGCTGTCCGCGCTGTGCAAGTGATCCATCTCTTCACGTCCTGCAACGGTACCTTGTGCGAGTACCGAGGACCAGATGGGCCTGACCGCCTGACCCGGCTAGGTTCAGGATGCCCTGGATGCCCTCAGGGGTGGATCGGGACCTCCGACGAAAGGGCCTGAATAACACTGTGGGAGTCCGACAGGATCAGGATTGGGCGATTCGCAGGAACCGTGACGGCATGAAGAATAGCCGCTGCTTCTGCCGAGAACACCGAACATTGTTTTGACAGACTTCTACCAACAATCAATACGAAACTAACGATTTTAAATTGGCTCACTACTTGACTAGCCTATTGGTCCCAAGCAAACGATTAACGTACCCCATTCTAGTCGAAATTCTAGTACTACGCAATGTTTGTTTTGATTCGCTATGAAAGTTTGACAGATGAAATGAGGGGTTATTCGTTTTTCCTATGTTTCGAGGGGTGAATCGATTAGCTTGGGACCGAAGAGAGTACCAGAGCTGAGCCAAAAAGTTGAGCACGTTATTTCGGGACCTTCTAGTCTTAGAGTTACCTCTATGCTTCTACGCTTCTACTTAAGGAAATGTCACCAGCGATTCATATTCCGACTCCAGCTCTCGATCTTGACCCGTCCGTGTAACTATGCATGTAGTTTTGGTACAATCCGGTCAGCTCTGCTACCGATCTCCTAAGGGCTACGGAATTGTCCCCGGCTCTGAACTTCTCCTTTATCCTGCTGTCGATGTATGGTGCGGGAGATTGCCAACTCTTATCTCCGTACCAGTAAATCTTGGTCACTGGGGGGAGCACTGCGTTTGCGATTGTACGGAGAACTCTGTCCCCCTCGCTAAGGAGGCAGATTCTGTCGTTTCTGGCGGTATTTGCTGAAAATGCAGCGGCTTTGTTGGCAATGGCTGCATAGATGCGGTACCGGGAAGAGAGAATGCCGTCTTCGACACAGCTGGCATCGGCTGGCGTCGAGGATAGGAGACCGGAGATGATGCGCGTGTAGCTATTGTACACCGGAGCGAGTATTTGTATTGCCTTGTCGGTGGCGATGCAGGTAAGCTCGAGTCCATACATCAGCTGGCTGTCTACGATGGCCCGGGCAACACGGAAACGTACTTCTCTGTTGTTGGACCGGTGGGTACGGGAGATTGTGCGGATGAAGATGATCCTGCTGCGACAGCTGACCTTGACCCCTTAAAGGTGGTGGTTAAAACTAAGCGACCGATCAATGACAACCCCCAGCAGTTTCACAGTTTTCTTAAATGGGATAGCTTGATTACCGATCTTTATGGAAGGTCCTCAGACCCGATGTAGGTACTAGCAAACGTGGCACCTAGCGCTCTTTTCAGCAGACAGCTGAAAACCTTTCGAAGCGGCCCATCTGGCTACGGCGGAAACCCCTGCTTGGGCTCTAATCCTCGTTCGTCCCAGACTTTGACCTGATACACGAAAATGCAGATGTTCGCTGGTAACCGCTCGAAGACACTGTTCATGGCGACCAGGAACAAAGTGACAGCGATCATTGAACCTTGGGGAACGCCAGTTTCCTCGCAGAAAGTGCGGGATTTGGTATTACCTACTGAGGCTCGGAAGGATCAGCCAGTCAGGAAATTTTGGACGAAATGGATGATATGGCCGCTAAGGCCCCAGCTGACGAGTTGCTTCAGTACCGTGGGCGTCCGTACGATTGAAGGCTTTCGCCCGTACATGGACGCCCGCGGTACTGAAGCAACTCAATCTGTGTAGTTGTGATCCATTTGGTGAATTTTAACTTAAATTTGACAGATAGAAAATTTTCAAATAAACATGCTATTGTACCAGACTTATTTTTGGCAGACCAGGAATTAATTTTGACAAACATCTTTTCGGAAATCACACAATCAACAACAGAGAGATTTTCGAACATTGTAATTTATTTTCTAAATGTCAAATTTAAGTAAAAATTCAGAAAAAAAATGGAACGCAGTGTTACATTTGATGAATTTTCACTGATACTTCGAAAATAAATTATAATGTTTGAGATCCCTCTGTTTTTCATCGTCCAACTTCCGAGAAATCATTTGTCAAAATTGATTCCTGGTCTGTCTAAAATAAGCAAGTTTATTTGAAAATTTTCCATCTGTCAAATTTAAGTGAAAGTTTACCAAACTGATCACAGCCTAAGGCTCTGAACCATTTGGTGGATTATTTTAACTTTTGGTTAAAATTTGACAGATGAAAAGTTATCGATTAACCCTGCTATCCGAGCATGGTTATTTCTGACAGACAAGAAGTTAAATTTTGACAACCGTGGCTCGAAAACCGGCCGATCGACAGCACGGGGATTTTCGAACATAGAAAATAACTTTCGAAATGTCACTTTTAACCACGAGTTAAATTTAACTCGGCAAATGGTTCACAGCCTAAATGTGCGGAGGTTGACAGCTGTAGTATACTTCTAGTCTCACCATCGAATGGTATTTGCTAAATAAGATGAGGTTAAACAAATAAGCTCTGCAAACAGCGCTCTTTGAAAACAATTTTATGAATATGTAACTGGAATAAATGCAAGGATTAAAAAGGAGGACATTTTCGGGCAAAAGGAGGATGTAGAAAAATTATTGAAAAAGGAGGACATGTCCTCCTTTAGGATACCATATGGTAACCCTATTAGGATGTCAAGATGAACGTTAGGAGAAGCAATGATATTACACTCCAGTGCTGCAACCTATTCCAGCGGTTTCTGTGAAGCTGTTTTGACCAAGGGGGGGAGGTGGCTGTCAAATACGAACAATCGTCGCCTACCTCGCATAACTGGTTCCAAACGTAAACAAGCCATAAGAAACCTACAGCGTTTGTTTACGTTTGGAACCAGTTTCATACAAGATGATCAGTAGGCTGATTTCACAGCACGTCCCCCCCCCCAGGTTTTGACACTGCAAACTGCTGGTTTCGATTTTGGATAAGCATAGCTAATCCGACGCAAGAATCGGTGACCATCGCTATTGCCACAACTCTAGATAGAGCTGGAATTAGGGCGTAACAGCTTTTGTAAACAATTACTTCTCTCGATGATTTATAGGAATTCAAGGCCCGCCCACGCAAACCAACAAAACCTTCGGGTAGAGGAAGTCTTCCTCTACCCGATGGTGATGTTGATTTGCGTTGACTAGCCTTGACTTTCTAGAAATCATCGAAAGAAGTAATTGTTTACAAAAGCTGTTACGCCCTAATTCCAGCACTATCAAGAACTACAAGCAAGCAATTTTCTGAAATTTATCCAATACAGTGCTGTAACAGGTTGTATTGGCTATCAAAAGCAACAACAAACGCACCGACAAATGCTAATCCAAGCGAGTTAAAAGAGAAAATCCACGAAGAGAATCGATCATCGCGGTTACGCCCTTATGCATGCTCACTGTCCTATTTATGGTCATCACATTTCATCCCCAACTTATATATTCCTTTGCCTATCTCTCTCTCTCTATTTTCCAGGTATCTCGTGGCCTGTGGAAGAAGTACGGTGACAAGCGAGTGATCGACACGCCCATCACCGAGATGGGCTTCGCCGGTATTGCCGTCGGTGCTGCCATGGCCGGTCTGCGTCCGGTGTGCGAGTTCATGACCTTCAACTTCTCCATGCAGGCCATTGATCACGTAATGTTTATAACCGACGTTCAACCAGAGGAGAACACGAGAACTAAACCCTATTGGACTCTTCCGAACAGGTCATCAACTCGGCTGCCAAAACTTTCTACATGTCCGCCGGTACCGTGAACGTACCGATCGTCTTCCGAGGACCGAACGGAGCTGCCGCCGGTGTGGGCGCTCAGCATTCGCAGTGCTTCGGTGCGTGGTACGCGCACTGTCCGGGATTGAAGGTGATCTCACCGTACGACAGCGAGGATGCCAAGGGTAAGTTCGGATGCGTTTGGATGAACGTTAGCATAGGAAGCCATTTTTCCTGCCTTTGCAGGTCTCCTCAAGGCTGCCATCCGCGATCCCGATCCAGTTGTGTTCCTGGAGAACGAAATGGTCTACGGTGTTGGGTTCCCGGTGTCGGATCAGGTGCTGGATAAGGAGTTTGTACTGCCCATCGGTAAGGCCAAGATCATGCGACCGGGCAAGCACATCACCCTGGTGGCCCATTCGAAGGCAGTGGACAATGCTCTGCAGGCAGCGAACGAACTAGCCGGCAAGGGCGTCGAGTGTGAGGTGATTAATCTACGTACGTTGCGTCCGATGGACACCGACACGATATTCAAGTCGGTTCAGAAGACGCACCACCTGGTCACGATCGAGCAGGGCTGGCCACAGAGCGGTACGTGGAACGATGGGGGTGATTTGGAAAAGCTGGAAATCTTATGTTGCGTTTCGTATTTTGCTTTACTCCGAACAGGTATTGGATCTGAGATTTGCGCTAGAATTATGGAACACGAAACGTTCTTCCACCTGGACGCTCCGATTTGGCGTGTGACAGGTAATTATTAGCTATGGGATGAATCGGTGAATAGAGGGGAATGCACTATTTGTGTGCGGGGAAGCAGAATGATGTGCGGAGATTTAATCCATTTAATCCATGAGGGCATGGTGAAAGGAGCATTTCGTGATGTTGATGAATGAGTAGAGAGGGCTTTTGGGGCGTGTTTGCATCTGATCCCAGAGGGTGTCTGGGTTCGATCCCACAAAAAAATCCGTATTTGCTGAATTTCGGCAAGTTTTGCACTGAGATCCAGCAAAATAAAATGCCGAGTTGCTCGGTGGTGCCCATCTCGACAAAAGAAATCTAATGGGTGATAGCGTTATAATATTTGATTGTTGCAAGGTATCTAAGAATTTGTCCTAGATCTCATATTTCATGTAATCAAGTTCAAGATTTCTTAAACAATTTATTAATTCAGTTCTAGATAATTAATTTCCCACTATTTACAATTTGATCTACTGAACCTTCTTCTTCTTCTCATTCTCCCTATTCTTCTTCTTCTTCTTCTTCTTCTTCTTCTTCTTCTTCTTCTGCAAGCTTATTGTTTATCGCATATTAGCTTATTGCGTGTAGAGTTGGTGTATAATGAGTCACGCCAAATGACTGTAGTAAATCATTATATCAGTGATTTTGTCAAATTATCTTAACAAAAAAACAGTAGAAATTATCATTACTGATCATTACCAAACGTATCCCATGACAATTGATTGCTCACTGCGTGTTAATATATCTTCGATTATATTTTATATTTGATTGCAATACCTTTCGTGGACCTTTCATAGCATCGTAATGTTTGTTTACTTTGCACGATAGGTAGCTGGTTTGACAGTTCGATAGGTACACGGCGAATGAGAACGACTCAAATTTGAGTTTAGTTCACTCATAATCGCCAAAAGTGCAGGAACTCAGCGATGAGTAAAATTTGTCTCATGGTTTCCTGTGGAAAATCTAAAAAATCTGCCGGAAAATGAGGAAATTGACGAAAATTTTATTCAGTCTCGGAGTAGTACCAATAGACTGAGTGAATCCAATCTTTACTTTTCTCGAACTCGGGAATTTTTCCCTGGAAAATCCTGGAAAAACCTGCGAAAACATGAGGCAAATTTACTCATCGCTGAGTTCCTGCACTTTTGGCGATTGTGAGTGAACTAAACTCAAATTTGAGTCGTTCTCATTCGCCGAGTAGACTTGGCGTGACTCATTATACACCGACTCTAATTGCGTGCTCTCTACTTAGTGTTCTAGATGCACTTCCACAGTTTGTAATTGAGAGCTTTCGATGCCAATACCAATGCATGAATTTGTATATTGTGAGGCAAGTACAATCATATTCTATGCCCAGGGAAACCCGAAAAATTCCTAGGCCGGACCGGGAATCGAACCCAGCCACCTCCTGCATGGTCTTGCTTTGAGCTGCACCTTCACAGACTGAGCTAAGAAAGGCTTATGTCACGTACATAAAGCACCCGATCAACACGCGGTGCGGCTTCTCCGTCCGATGGCACTCCTCACCTTTCAGCAACCGCAACCGACACTCAATTGGCGTGGAAATCGGCTTGCAACAGATCTTCCAGAAAAGCGCGCTGGCTAATCCGCAGGTATCTATTTTCGACGTCTCGTTAAATTTTCATGCGAAAGAAGCTCCTTACCTCCCCGATGTCGGTCATCTCGAATCCATCGACCATAGGATCTCTTCACCGCTTCAATATCCTTCAGTTGTGAACCGATTATCAAAATGTCGTCCACATACAGCACTAGGAAGGTCAACCCGTTCGCGGTTCGCTTCACATACAGGCATGGGTCACTTGCAGCTCTCTTGAATCCCAGCTTCTCGACAAAGCGATGAAACTGCTCGTTCCATGATCTGGATGGAGGCCTGTTTCAGGCCGTACACCGAACTATTCAAGCGACACACCAGATCCTTACCCTTCGCAAAACCTTCCGGACATGAAAATTTCTTCCGAAATTGCACCGATCAAGAAGGCGATTATAACGTCCATCTGGTGGACTGCCATCTTCTCATGGTTAGCTACAGCCAGGACAGTGCGAAGTGTGTCGAGTTTCGCAACCGGCGAATAAGTTTCCGAGTAATCAAAGCCATACCTTTGCGTGAATCATCGTGCTACTTGCCTGGCTTTGTAGCGATCCTCTCCGCCATCTTCACTCCGATTCAGCCGGAACACCCACTTGCATGTAATCGGGACACGACCTTTCGGGATCTTCGTCAACGACCAAGTGTTGTTCTTCACCAAAGCTTGCATCTCCTCGTGAACGGCTGCTTCCCATTTCGGCCAGTCATGGCGCTTCTTCATCTCGGACAGCGTGCTCGGCAGATTCTCTACGTAACTGGCTGCACTCAGAGCGAAACCGATGTAATCCATCTCATAATCTCGTTGTCACGCTGGAGGGCGGCACTCTCGCTGCGGTAGTGGTGTCCTTCTCGGTGTATTTTCATCACATTGCGACCGCTTGCCTTTGCGGTTCTGCTGCCGCCATTCGCCTTCATCCTGTGAGTTACCGTGTTCCTCCTGCTTCATCATCACGAATGGTTTCATCGACGCAACTATCGAAATTCTTCTCATCCGCATTATTTTCAGCAGTAACCTCACTTTCATCGTCACTGTTAGCTTTAGATTCTTCGTCGATTTCACGCACTCGCACGTTATCTTGACTTGAACGCTTGAACCACAGTCCGGAACAGAAACTCCTCCAGTTTCAACGAAAATCACATCACGCACGACAGCAACTGTTTTCCGCCGTGGGTCCCACACGCGGTAGCCATTGTGAGAATACCCGATGAATACGCCACGCCATAATTTGGAATCCAGCTTCTTCCTGTGTTCCCGAGGAACGTGCACGTACACATTCGAGCCAAACGCCCGCAGCTTCTTCACATCCGGATTGCGACATTCCCAAATTTTGAATGGGGTCTTCTTCGACTCGAGCGTGCTCGCTGGACTTCGGTTCGTCAAAAACGCCGCAGTCTGAATCGCCGAACCCCAGAATTTCTTGATTACTCCGGAATCCTCCAACATAGAAAGAGCTTTTTCCACAAGCGTTCTATTCATGCGCTCGCTGACGCCGTTCCGGCGTATAGGGAACCGTGAACTCGATCTGTATTCCCCTACCTTCACAGAACTTTCGAAACGCGCCTGCTCTGTATTCTTCGCCATTGTCACAGCGGAACCGCGAAACCTAGCTGCCAAACTTGGCCGACACGTAAGCTTCGTATTTCTCGAACTTACTCGTCACTTGATCCTTGGAACTCATCAAATAAACCACCGTGAACCAACACACGTCGGAGTGGATCAGTTCTAACACTCACGTCGACCGTCTGCCTTCGCGCGCGGATGCTTTCCGGCGATGCATGACTCACAAACGTCTTCGTTCTTCGCTCCAAGTTTCACATCGACACCATCAACCATCTTGTTCCGCACTAGAAATTCCAAATTTTTCGTACTGGCGATGCCGCAATTCGAACGCTTTCGGTACCTGTCCGCACGAGTAGAACGACGATTTGTCCGCACACTTTTCTTCGCGATGAAGATTAAGTTCGAACAGTTTTCCGTGGCGTCCACCAACCGCGACGACACCCGATTCTCGTGCGATGCTCACTTTACCACCGGCGAAAACTAAAAATTTTCACTTGCCTCCGGAATGTGCAGTACGTCTTTCAGTGTTATCGGAATTATCTCGTCATTCACGACGGAATACAGACGAATCACTCCGCGGTGCTTCGCTGCGATTGAATCGCCCTGCTTCGTGACAGCAATCTCCATCGGCTTCTGCATAGGAACCAACTCTTCGAACAATCCATGCTCCGACGACCCAGAATCGATGAACCAGTTTACTTCTCGCCGCTTCGGGATCTGTTCCGTAACGAAACACACACCCTTGTCTTCAGCACCGTAGTGCGCACTCGTCTTCTTCGAGTTATGCTTCTTGTTTTTCTTCTCCGGTCACTCGGCCACCCACAGCCAAAACACTTCCACACTTTATTCTTCTGCTGCTGCTTCAGAGGTTTTCGAACGTGCGATCCGGAAAAAGCTGCCGACTCCGCCGATGTGCCGACGGAATCGACATCTGCACTCCTCCTCTTCGTCTCCTCATCGAGCAAACGACACTTTACAAACTCCAGCGTTAACACCTCTTCCGGCATTGTCTCGATGGCTGTCACGACCATGTCGTATTCGAGTGCAGCGTACACAGCAAGTGGGTCACGACGTCGTTTTGTATTCGCGAACAATCCGGTCGAACTTAAGGAAATGTTCACGCAAACTGGTGTCGTCCTGCCAAAGAGTTATCATCTGCTTTTTCAAGTGTACGCGGCTCACTATGCTTCGTCGCTCAAACATCCGTTGCAGTGTCCTGGATGTATTCCAACTGGTTGTCGTGAATGCAGGAAATCAACAACGATCGGCATCGCTTGTCCTTCTTCTGCCTCTTCTCGGTCGCCTTTGGCTTTTCTCTGCCTTCCTCCGCCTTGATCTTTAGCTCTTCCACATCCGCCACCTCCTGTTCGACGTTTTCGATCAGCTCGTGCTCGTCGAGCTTTGATATTCCCCCTTATTCTGCGAGTCACGTGACTCTCTGTCACCGGTGAGGTGACAATTGTCACCTCGTGTGAGGTGACTCTCCATGTAAATCAAATGGAGAGTCACCTCACACGAGGTGACTATTGTCACCTCACCGGTGAGAGAGAGTCACGTGACTCGCAGAATAGGGTAGATTCTTACCGATTGTTTACAAGGTCGCTCATAACACCCCGACAGGATACTCACTTTACCCCAACGGTTTAATTTCGTTTACAAAATGAACCTCTTTTAAATCTTCTATCATTCAAAAGTTTACTTTTAAAATTCTATTTGTTTTCATGATGTAAATAGGGCTTGATACTATCCATTTGGTTAAATATCATTCGAATTTTTCACTAAATTTTGTATGATTAGTGATGATTTTCTTAAGGTGGCTAAACTGTCCCACTTTCCCCTAAGTTTGTGTTAGTCGAGACGAACAAAAAGATCAGTTGGTTGAAGGGCAGTCGAGAAACGGCGGTGGGTGGACGGTACCACCCACCGCATATATGGAGGGGTTACTGTAGCAGAATGATATCCGGAGAACTCGTGTGCCTCTAGCCCTCTGCCCCTGCCAATACATAGTGGGCCATCTTTCCTTTTAATAGATTGTCCCGTTGATCCATGACACTGAAACTAACGCTTGTGTTTTATTTTCGAAACAATCACCCTTACAGGAGTGGACGTCCCGATGCCTTATGCCAAAACGCTGGAAGCGGCGGCACTGCCACAGACTCACGACGTCGTCACTGCAGTTAATAAAGTGTTAGGTATTAAGTAAAGCGAGAGCGACAATGCAAGAGCTCAACCAACAAATGGAGAAATACTACACCGTACCATGTTCGCCAATAGGTTCTGAGCTAGCGAGGCCCCCACGTAGTTCACAGAGCGAGGGGTTTTAAAGCATGTTTAAAAGTTAGAAATCATTCTTTTCTCTTTATTTTTTTTTCTTCTTCAAATTCGAACGATCGATCGGGACCGGGCTGATAAAAATACATTTGGTAGGACTAAAAAGTATTCTCTACTCTAAAGACACGATGTGATTCTCAGTAGCGCAACTCAAATACACAACTTGAATAATGCGTTTTTAGTTTATTTCCTGCATATAAAAAAAAATATAAAAATTTCGTTCATTTTTAATCAGGTGGATTCGACTATGTGCATGGCTTAATTTTTTTTTTTAATTTGTCGACCCATGCGGAAAGGGAACACTATTATGGAGTAGCTTGGGACCTCGCTGCACAGGGAGAACAGTAAACCATTGTGCTAACAACAGAATATCAGGATATTAGTAAAGTAGTTGATAATAATTGTACATAAGACCGATCACCGCAACGACAAAATAGTTATTAAACAGACCCATGCCACCACCATAGTCACTTCTCGTCACAGTCGCCATTTCTTTTCAACTTTCAATTGTGAAAATTCATGGTTTCCTTTCCTAAAAATGGGATCCTCTTTTTCGTCATTCATCACAACGAGGATACAATCTAGAGACATTGCCAGCATGAAATATAATTATGACAACAGCGTAGTTTGTGCATTTGAGATTGTGAAAATATCACTGATTCCAACGTCGAATCTCAACCGAACGAAATGCAAGAAACATCCTAGTTACAGAAAAGTACTCACAGAACTCACATCGAGACGCTTCCTCTCCCAGATCCTTTAGAGTACCAGGAAGTTTTATCACACTTTATCAGATCCCATTGCCCAGCTGATACTGTTGGACGTGGTTAGCCTATTGAATTAGTTTTCACCCCATTCCACCTTTTCCGTGCTAGCGAACTACACATTTCAAACTTGACAACTCTTTACTGAAATAGAGAGAGAGAGAGAGTGAGTCTTCGTTAGGATGTTGGGTGCAACTTTTCTTCGTTCGTTTGTTACTGTTACCACCACCTCCCTCCTTCGCACAAATTGAGTGTGGGTGCCTTCATCTATCTACTGTATGTGGACGTTTGTTCGAAATCAGAACGTGGCGTTTCTTGAATTTAAATCCCTGTCTACGTTGCCCACTCTATCTATCAGTTTGAAATCACATCGTGTTCGATGATGGCAGTCCTACCTACCTACATACATCGTTAGATCTCTACGGGGAGTAAGGCAGTAAGTCGATGGAATTGTTCCACTCCGTACATGATTGCAATGCCAATTGCAGGGAGCTGGGATAAACGGTGAGTTTGGAGCTAATCAGGGAAAAGGATAACTTAATTTGAAGAATTGGAACAGGAAAGGAACACATTCAAATAACGAAAAGACCGTCGATTGACTTTCGTCTTTTTAAATTACTGTATGGCTTGCTTGCACTTCGAGGTTGTCCATAAAGAACGTAGACGGATTTGGAGTTGCAACAATTTGTATAGACCGTAGATGTTTTGATGTTGTAGTGGGATGTATCCCACGTCACTATGCTATTGTTATCTGCATTTTCATTCCATTGTGCTAGGTCGAGTTGTAAAGACCGCTTTTCAATTGCCTCTGCAATTGGTTATGGCTGTCTACAAGCTGCAGTAGCATAGCACACATGTGTAAGCAACAGAGAAGAACACGTGTTCTCAATGAACGAGCGCAGGAAATTCACCTTCAACGTCGTACATGTTCACGTGAAGACTGAATTATGGACCTACAACCCAAGCCGGAAGAAGTTGAAACAGATTGGAATTCAGAAAGACGTCCACGGACCGATCAGCAAGGAGATGGAGCGGAAATACAACTTAAAAATTCCATAAGAACCACTTTTTACATAACATAAGTCAAATTCATAAGTCAAATAAAAAAAAATAGTAAGTTAACCTATGAAACTTAAAAAAAAAGTATTATAAAATGGGCCTCGGAGCATTCAGATTATCGAGTCCGTGATTTGTACTCACGTCTATCACTGCTTGAGAAATCAAATACCGTATGCGTGATAATGTTTGCACCATTAAGCAATGTCAAAATTAAAAAAATTCTCAACAATTTCGTTTTCGAGCTTTATTTATTTATTCAAAGGGGGATGTTTCTCAGAGTCTTAAACTATGTTAATCATCGATCGAATTTCCACTTGCTGCAATTACGGCCTCCACACGCTTCCGGAATGCACGGCAGGTTCTAATAATGTAGTCTGGATCCATTTCTCTCCAGGTACGGGTCAATGTTTGTCTGAGACTTGCTGTACTCGGGTGGCGTTTAGAACAGGCCTTGGCCTTCATGACGCGCCATATTGAGTAATCCAGCGGAATAAGGGGGTAGTACACTTTGAACGTCCAAAAAGTAAGGCATTTTCGTTAATTTTTTTAAGCAATAAAACACTCAGGGAAGGCAAATATGTTATAACCCATTTATTAGTCATCCTTCGAACTACAATTTGTATTTTTTTTTAACTCGATTGGCGTCTCCCCGTGGCCGGTGCACCAGGTCGCGCGGGCGTCCTAGCGCGGAAGTCGAAAAACGCCGTGGGAAAATACTCCTTTCCATGTGATCTTGGAACATAAATCGAACAAAAATCCTGATTAGTAATGAAATTTGGGTTAGAAATACGTATTCCAATTTTTTTTAAATTATTTTTTTTTCAAAAGTTGTGGCCTTAGGAAAAAAGTCCATTTTTTCACCCTAAAAATGCTTACAAAATCGTGGATTAAAAATCCATTTTTGACAAAATCGAAAATGTGGATACGTATTTCTAAGCAGAATTTAATTCTGAACAAGAAAACCTAAGCGATATCCAAATTTGATGATAACTGGTTAGAGTTATTTCGCCAGTTTGAAAAACCCCGTTTCGAGATAAACGCGTTTAAAGATAAAATTGCTCTCTCAGCGCGCCGGTACATGTTTTAGGAAATCGCTTCGTACAGCGGTAAGGAATATTCTGGCGGACTTGGAGTCATTTCTAAATTAAAGTATACATCCCAAAAAACATTTTAAGCCAAAAAAAAAAATAATGCATTTTTTTGAAAAATCAAAGTGTACTCCCCCCTTAAGATCGGGGCTGGATGGCGACCACATATCCTTCGCCCAGAACGGAAGATGTTGCTGCAACCACTTCTGAGTGCGGTTTGGCTTCGGACCGTATTGTTCTTTGATGCACGGAAGAACATACTTACTTAAAATCCCGATGTAGACCTCTGTGTTGACCTTGTCGCCTTCTGGAATGAACACCGGGTCCATTTTTTTGCCACTGGAAGCCACCAATCCAAACACCATAACGCTAGCAGGATGCTTGGTCAGAATCAGAATATACCAGTCGGTTCTGGAATTTGATACGGGATCGACGGTGAACAGGATTACCCTTGGGGCATCTTACTCTAAACTTCATACCAAATAGCAATCAAATATTTTTAAGTTTCACGCAAGTATTCTTAGGTATTTTTAAGTATTTTTAACCTTGGCTAGATTTCCATCGTAGTAACACTTGTTTTAATTATGACCTGTTGCTAGTGCAGTTGTTTGTTGTCAGTTGTCTTGTATTTATAAAAAAAAACATATGGGTGTTAAGGGTTATGTATTTCTATCGTTTTATTATGTGTATACAATAGTATTATTTCGATTTTTCAGCAATTCAGATTTCAAAAATGCATAGCTTCAAGAGCTAGTTACAAAAAACGATGTTTTGAGTAGAAATTTAACTGTATCTTCCGATCGAGTGATATCTTAAATTGTTTAATGGCTGACATATAAGATCCAGCTGATGAATGAGTATTAAATTTTCTACACATGTTAACTACCAGCGAGCAGCAGATCATCTGACTACGTATATTTTCTTTTGCAGAATATTCTGATTCCAAGCAGACCAAGAGAATACTGCGTGGAGAAAGTGCTGATAAATTTTTAGGAGCGAAAAAAACGCCTGAGAAAATTTAGGAATCAACTACCAGAATGTTAATTTTTTAAAGTCATGAAATTATAGCATCACATTGAACATATCATATTGTTTGTTTTTATTATACGTATGAAAAAATAAAGCAAACTAAATCCGATAATTTGAATCATTCTGTATATGTTTATCAACTGTGTTCAGTTCACTGGCCTTTTTGATATATTCTCTACTGTAATAAACATGTTCTGCGTTTAGAAGCTGGGAAGCTAAGAGATCTGGGTACGAGTAATACACCCATATTCTCGTTTAAAATACTGCTCGAACGTGAACGAGAATATGGGTGATAGTATGGTCGCATGGTTTCGTCACATCTAATTATGCGTTTAATAGGCGGGCGTTGTCATTGTCACATAGCCAAGAACGTAGCGGACTAAAAGAACAACACAAAATTCACTATAACAATGATAAAACTTAAATCTAACGAACAACAACAAAAGGTTCCCATGTCTTTCAGAATTAATTCCTTTTGGTACATGACACATGATTACACCGGAAATAATCCGAAATACCTAGCTGTTCACGCTCTTAATTAAATAAGTGTTAGTTTCTTAACAAACTGACCAATATTAACGTAAAACACCGGACATTTTATAAACAAGCTAATTAAATTGGTATAGCAACCAAGAAAATAAACTAACGCTTGATATTTCTTAAGTATTTTTAAGTATTTTAAGGTATCTTAGATATCACTAAGATCTTTACATGTATATTGGGAAAAATACAAAGTTTAAAGTGGGATGCCCCTAGGGATTACCGGATTTTTTCGCTTAAGGAAGTTCAAGATTTTATTGCATCGTTCGACTCGTAGCTCCCGGATGCGGTTGGTAATCATGTGAGTTTTCGCAATCTTCCTTTACGATCTTCCGTGCCGTAAAGTCACTGATCCCGTGTTCCTTTGCCATTTTCCTTATTGAACGCACTGGATTCACCCGAATCTTCCTTTTGATAGCAGCGATAACCCTCGGAACCCGAGCTGACCTCGGACGACCTGTGGCAACCTTCGCGGATAGTTGTTCTTTCTTTTCTCGGTCTAAATCCCTTTTGACGGTCCACCGGGACACTCCCACGGCGATTGAAATGTCTTTTTGCGACATTTGCGCGTGGGACAAATCACGAATACGCTGCCATGGTGCAAACTGTAAACTAATAGCGAATTCGTTTATTATTCAGTTCCAACCTGGATCGGGTATCAAGATTGGGTCTGCTTGTTTTCTGTCAAACGTCAGTTTGATCGTTTTTTTTTTTAACCTAGCTCAGGTTGAGGTTCACACTGACAAAAAGTTCGGTTTCGCACTGGGTTGGAACTGGTGTTAACCCCGATAATAAACGAATTCGCTATAAGTAAATCATTTTCTTTTATACACAGCCTACTACGGTCGAGACTACGGTATGAGCTATAGGTTACGTGCATGCAAAGAAAACCAAGGCATTCCCCCCTATTCTGCGAGTCACGTGACTCTCTCTCACCGGTGAGGTGACAATAGTCACCTCGTGTGAGGTGACTCTTCATTTGATTTGCACGGAGAGTCACCTCACACGAGGTGACAATTGTCACCTCACCGGTGACAGAGAGTCACGTGACTCGCAGAATAAGGGGGATTGTATGCACATGTGAAACGGGAACCTTATTTGTACGATGGTGCAAACATTATCACGCGACTAAACTATAAGAACCA